CTGACCCCGCTTTTCTTAAATGAAAACATGCCAACAAAAGCATACTTTGGATACAAAATCCAAGTACTCATCTTGTTTGGGGAGGTTAGAGCTGGGGTGTACTTCGGGGGATGAAAATTTTGTTTTCATGAATTGGGTAACACCCAGGCATTGTTGGGGACCTCGACATACCCTCTAGATAGCCTTCTCTTCCTCCTTCACACTTTCTTTCTATCAAAATAGTTATTGTTTTGAAATTCACTAAGACAACGACGTTCTAAAAACAAAGACGCAGCAAGCATCCCTTTTCTCTCCGCCGCGGGCTGAACCACTGACGCTCGCGGGGCGCCCGGCCCCGACTGCCCGCAGGGGGCGCGCGCCGCTCCCCTAGCACAGCCCGGCTACCCCAAGAAAGGGAGCCGAATGGAGGGAAGCAGGGAGCACGGAGGGCTCGAGGCTTGCAGATAAGGAGAGGCGCATCCTGGGATTTGAGTCCTCTGCTGCTACAACACAACCGTGCTATTGTTGGCACTGTCCGACCCAAGTGTCGGTTGTAAGCGGAGATGTCGGGGCTGGGTCTCCAGCAACCCCTGTGCCCTGGGTCAGGCGGGTCGCCCAACTACCGTGATCCCTCTCCGGATGCTTCCAAGGCTATAGGGGCTGCACCCCCAGACGGGATAGCCACATACCTCCGAACAGGTAGTGGAGTTTGTCTCTGGCAGGTGTCCTAGCTGCGCTGACACCAAGGTCGCCACACAACAGCCATCAGCCCCTCTCAAGCCCCAGAAGTAGGTTTCCCCTGCTTCAGTCGTTGCCACGAGCCCACTTCTTATCTCCAAGGGCACCCCCCTCTCCTCAGCCCGGTTTATGCCCGTTACACTGAGAGAATTACATAGAGGGAACTATGGTCCCACACCCTCGGGGGGACAGTCACCGGCCGTGAGACAGGCACCACGCAGAGCCTTCTGGTGACTGTCCGCAAGAGCAAGACCTTTTGGTTTTACAATCTGCTGGTGTGTGTGTTTGTGTGTGTGAGGGTCCCCAGCCGACTACCGGGACGCACTGCCACTTTTCGGCCTGGCAGGCTCTGGGACTCCTTGGTCTCCGCAGCAGGCCATCCCAGGCCTTCGGAGGAGGCGCTCCCCGCTGGCGGCGCCCCTCGCCCCGGGCTCCTAGGCGGACACCGTCGGTCGCGCCCTGCCGGCCCTTTGTTCGCGCCGCAGCGGGCTGGGAGCAGCTGCGCGGCACCAGACCCGCAGGGCCAAGACGCCAAGCGTGAGGAAATCGCTGCGCTTGACGCCTTCTCCCCCAACTCTTGGGCCCAGAAACCCTTCCAGCTCCTGCGTCCCACACGCCCAGTCCTGGCTTCTCTCCCGGCCCAGTAGTCTTCAAGGATTGAAGGGCGCTGCCTAGGGCCCCGCACTCCTGCCTGGCTCCCAAGGCCCAGAAAAGCGGGGGGACATTTGAAATGTCACCCCTGGGATAAATATTAACAAAAAAGCAAATGGACTTGTGCGGGGGCCAGTTATCAATCAACCAGGCCGCAAGGCCACTCAGGGCAAACACAGCCCAGGTTGGGCTGGGCGAGACTTTCTCATGGCCGCCTCCCGACCGAACCCCTCCCCCCTGGCTCAGGTCCTCCTTCAGGTCTTTCTGGGGCAAACACCGGACGGGAAGGGGGCGCAGTCCGGGTGCTGGAGGCCCCGCCAACGCCCCCGCGGGGTTTGGAGGTTTCCTCCCCTCCAAGTCGGACAGGATCGAAGTGCCCAACACCCACCCCCGCCCGCCTGCGCCCGGCCTTCTTCTGGGTCCGCGGTGCTGCGCTTGCTGGTGGTTGTGTGTCGCAGTCTCTTTCTGAGCCGGCAGCCCCCGCCGTGTGGCCGAAGCTCTCTGGAATCTTTAATTGGAAACTAATCTTGCGTCTAGATAGGCGCCCACGTCAGAGGCGCGCCACCCACCCACCCGCCCGCCTCATTCAGGAGGAGACGCGGCGAGAACCCTGTCGCTCTGCTCTTTAATGGGGCAGCAGCAAGTAGTACATGGAGGGAACATATATTGATTTTTAAAAGGTAGTTAATTTGGTGGGAATTTTCTCCTGTCGCCCTTCTTCCACCAGCCGCTGTTATTTCGTGACCGGAAGGCGCCTTCTCAAACACAGCGCCACGAGCAGAGGGTTTTGACCCTCTGCAACAGGCGGCCGGCACCTGGAGGCCAGAGGGGCGTGGAGAAGCCACCGCTCTCCCGCTGCGGAGCGAAGGAACCTGGCTCAGTGAGCCCTGACCTCGCAAGGTGGTTGGAAAGAGACTGGGGGAGGGTCTCTGAGCGCAACAGCAAGGAAAGCTGCCAGGGGCTCCTCCCCACATGGGAGCTGGTAGTGGGGGGCACGCACTAATGTCCTGTAGGAACGGCCAAGGCGCTCTGCAATTCGTTTTAAGGTTCTTGCACTCGGCCCGCTAGAGATCATTTGGAAAGTTCAGAAAATAACCCCACCCTTTTTACAATATGGAAATGTTAATGAGAAGGCTCGTTCTTCAGTAACTTAAAAATAGATTGTGAAGAGACTGTTCCTGGTTCCTTGCAGGAGGCCCTCCTGGACCAACACAGCGCCCTCAATCCTAGCCCTTTCCACCATCACTTTTAAGTTAAGGAAACAAAAATGTAATAGACATGCTTCCTCAGGGTCTCAGGACACAGTGGGCTGGGTGTTTGGTGCCAAATGTCTGCCCTGCTGGAGTCTCCAATGTTTCACTTTTCCGAGGAAAAGGTCATGGGTCTGGGGCCGAGGGCTGCATGGTTCTCCACAGGTTGCTGGGTGCCCAGGCAGGCGCTCCTTCCATAGCCTCCTGGGTGCCACGAACACCTGCCAGGCACTAGGTTTGCGCCTCCAGCGTGCGGGTCCCAGCCCTCAGGCTCCCTCCCCCTCCACAGTGCCATCCCCTGAGCTCGGCTCTGTAGCTCTCCACGCTTGGAGGTCAGAGGGCGCTCCTGCAGCCAGGTTTCCATGGCTCAGAGGTCGTCTCTGAACAGAACGTGTCCGTCTGTCCTTCCAGGGGGCGACAGCAGGCAGTGGGGGGAGGAGGGACATTGAAGTCCAGAGCAAGAGCCTCCAGGGGGCGGGGGTGGGGGATGGGGACCGAGTTTTCCTGGAGGGGTAGCCTTCTCCATTTCTATCTTCTTCTCACATTCCCTTGCCCCACTCGTTGGCTTCAGCGGGCACTGCCTGGGTAAGAGGCCCTGAAGCCCGGCTCTGGGGTGGTGTGGGTGTGTGAAAAGGCACTACCTTGGGCTCTGGAGAGACGAAGCTGTCAAGGCGAGGAGCAGCCCCTTCGCCCACTCCCTCCGGAACCTCAGCTGCTTGCGGACAGCCCACGGGTGGATATATAGAGATATTTCACTCTCTAGCACAAGGGCTAGAGAGTGGAAACCCAGGAGCCTGCGATTCGCTGGGGCGCCCAGCAGGAACCTGCATGAGGACTTTGCCTGGGGCGAACGAAGGCAGGGCTGGGCTGGAAAACCTGGCAGGACAGAGTCTCAGCCAGCGCGGCGCTTTGGGACCGGAGGCCTGGAGGGCCCAAACCCAAAGAACGCTTTGGGTCGCTTCGGGGCACGAATCACAGGCTGGTCGGCACCTGCCACCCCCTAGCTTCTCATTGGCAGGCACGAGTTGGGGGAGGGGGCTTTGGCCTCACGCTTTGATTTTAGACTGTGAAACGGCTCAGTGCCCCCGGCTCAGAGCGGATTGACTGTCTCTCGTTCTCCAGGGACGAATTAATGGAGAACGATCAGTTAATTAACAAACCCTCATTCCGGCTTTTACCTTTTCTCTTCGCCAAGGCTCAGGCCCGGGCGCCGGGCTGAGAAGGAGGTGGGGGTTAGGGAGTTGGGGCGGGGGGAAGGGGGCATGAACCAGGAGTCAATCAACTTGGCAACCGCCGCCCGGATCTCATCAAACCCTAGCCACCCTCCGCTGTCCTTAGTTCTACCTCCCCTCATGTTCTCCACCCTCAAGGGTCGCCGAACCCTCCTGAAATCCCCGGTGGGGTTCGGGCTGGGCTCAGCCGTCTTCTCCGCCTATCCGCGGTCTAGGGGAGCCAGGCGCGGTGTCTGCGCGGCGCCAGGGAGACCTTTCCGCTGAACTCAGAAACACCCGGGGTTTGGGGTTTTGGGCAGGAGACCTCTGCTCGCAGACTTGGGGGTCATTTACACACTCCCACCCCCAAATCCCCCTCCCGCACGGGGATTCAGACTAAAATCGCGAAGAGGAATCAAAAAACAAAATGCAAAGTCCTCAGGGAGTCGGCAGCGAAGGCGGTCCCCGGACTTGGCTATTGCTTTGCAACTCTCACTGGGACCTTGGGACGGTCAGCCTCCCTCTCCTTTCCACAGCCAATTCCATGCGCAGAGAGCGTCCTAACCCTTACATCTCGTCTGTGCTACATACCCATCGCCCAGTGGCTTTGAAACTTTTTGCCCATACTCTTAGATTGAGATCACTCCAGCCAGCGCCAAAAGAATGAGCGCGGGAGGGGATCACAGCAACCAGTTCAGCTAAACCTCAACGCAGCTCCGGCACGCTCCAGCCCAGCGCCTGGGATGTGTCAGAGGTACCTGCGAGGAACATTTGCGTGCGATTCCACGCACGCGTTGCCTCCCTCTTCCCAAACCCGGATCGCTGAACTGAGAGGTGGCGCAGAGTGTCTCACCAGGTGCGGGGATTTCTCTCCGCCTCAGGCCGTACGAGCTTCCCTCGCTGTACCTGAACGCAAATGCGCCTCTTCAGTCGCCGAGGGCCCGCCGCTTAGCTCTCGGAGCCTTCCACAGCCCAACACACTGAGCCCTAGAGTAGGAAATTTGCTCCCACAGCCCTGTGCTGGCCCTTCCAGGCACAGGGAGTACCTCTTCTGGGGGTAGGGGTGGGCGGAATGAAGCGCACCCAGCCCTCTCTCCTACCCTCCCTCCTTTGGTCCCTTCGGCTTTCGTGTACCTTATCTCCCGCGCGCCCAGCTCCTCGGCCGGCTCACCTGCTAAGCGGAGCGCGGACATGCGCTGGAACTCCGGCTCCTGCAGCCACTTCCACATCCTCCGGAAGGTCTCCCGGCCGGATTTGAGTTTGCTCCAGGGTTTGGGGTTGCGCAGCAGGTCCGAGAGGGTCCCCTGGGAGCGGCAGAGCACCCTCTGCGCGAAGATGGCCTGTGGGATGCTGTAGCGCTTGAGCTCGGTGGTGATACGCTGCGCCACCTCTTTGGTATTGATCTCTTCCATCTGCCCTGAATTACTTCCATTGCTGACCTGCGCGCCGGTCACCGAAGGGTTGGGCTCCCGGGCTGTGCCCAGGAGCTGCCCGTGGCCCTGGGTGTTCAGGTGGGCGTGGGGATGGTGCGGAGGAAGGCCGTTGATGGGCACCATGCCGGCCGAGGTGGGCGTGAGGTGCTGCTCCCCGTGGCGGCCGAGCATGGCCGGGTGGTGGGCTTCGAAGCCGTTGGGGGTGAGCATCTTGTCGGTGGGCATGGCGGCCCCTGGGTGGGCATAGTGGGGGAGCCCTTGCTGGGAGTTGTGGATGCTGCCCAGACCGGAGCTGGAGAGGGGCGAGAGGCTCTGGCCCATGCCGGCCACGTCCTTGTGGTAGGGGGTATAGAGGTTATTCATGGAGGCCAGCCCGCGCTCATCCCTCATGAGCGTGAAGCTACCGCTCACGTTGCCCGCCAGGCGCTGGTGGTGGTGCGGGTGGTGGTGGTGATGGTGGTGGTGGTGATGGTGGGGGAACTTGTCCGATACTGTGGAGATGGGCGGCAGCGGCTGCAGAGGGGTCAAGGTGGTGTAGGTGGTGGGCATGCTCATACCTGGGGGAGTCTCGCAGGCCATGGTCATGGTGGGGTGCAGGGGACCGGCCAGGCTGTGCTCGGGGGCCCGGTGGTGGTGGTGGTAATCGCTGCCGCCGCTGCCGCCGTCCAGCAGGGACGCCATGCCCATGGAGCGCGGATGCGCGGGGGGCAGGTGGCTGCCGCGGTGCGCCACGGAGCTGCGCGCGTGGGGGCTGCCGCCCAGCAGGTCGGCAGGGGCGGGCACCGGCTCATGGCTCACCCCGTGCAGCTCGCCGATCGCTTCCATGGTCAGCTGCGCGTTCATCGTGATCCGGGCGAGCAGGCGGCGGACACAACATCGATGTGGCCAGGCAGAGGCGGCGAGGGGCGCACGGAGTCCGGTCTTCACATCGGCTGCTGGCGACTGTTGCCTTCCTTCCTCTCACTGTCGGGCTCTGTCTCTGTCTCTCTCTCTCCGTGTGTGTGTGTCTGTGTGTGCGCGCGCGTGTGTGTGTGTGTCTCCTTCCCTCTTACCCCCCACCTTCCCCTCTGAGTCCTCGGCTTTTTTTTTTTTTTTTATATTAATTTCCAAAAAGGATCCGCGCCGTTGGGAGAGCGCAGTGCTCCAGCCCGCCCGCCCCGGCCACCTCTCGCCCCTCTCTTTCTTAAAATTCTGAGGCCCCCGGCTCCCCTGCCGCGGCCCGCGCGCCTGCCGCGGCTGCTGCCTGCCAGCGCCGCTGGCCAGCTTGAGCCATGGCTCTGTTACTGTTGCAGACTCTGTGGCCGCGGTTCGGTAGCCGCCGCTGCAGCCGCCGCCGCGGCCCGCCCTCACGCCCGCCAGGCGCAGCGCGCATGCGCAAGGCCAGGCCCCGCCCCCTCAGTCCCCGCAAGCCCGGCCCTTGACGTCCCGTACAAATGAAGGAGGGGGGCGCAGCGCCTTCCCAGCGGCGCCGGATGGCCAGGGAGCTGCGCGCACGTTCGAAAGATTGGCGCAGAGCGCGACCTGGGGCCGCCGCTGCAATCCCAGGAGACTCGCGCCTGGCTGGCTCGCCTCCCTTGCTTGGGTGGGCTCTCTCCTCCCAGCCCCGGGATGCTCCTGTCCAGCTCCTAGCGGCTGGTGTGCTATGCTTGGGGAGACATCGCCCCTCTCTCTCCAGTTGCTGCTTCCCGGTGCAGGTCGCCCTGGGAGCTGGGGACTGTGTTATCACCCCGTCGGCTCTGGCCCACTAAGCTTTATTTCCCGGGGGGCTGCTGGGAGTGCGTTTTCCCACCCCTGAATACACGGCCTACTGGGAGGGGTGGGGGTTGGGGTGGGGTGGGGTGCAAATTGCTTAAAGAGCTGGGTCCGTTTGGCGGCCGTTGACCCGGCACCCTTCGTTCTCCCAGATACATATTTGCCCACCCTTTCTCATCCATGCCCTGGGGAGAGGAGCACTCAGTGCCTAGAGTCCCAGTTAGGACCATACCTCACTGTCCCCCGCCGCCTGGCTCCTTCTCCCGCTCAGCTCATAATTAAGGCTGTGCGTCCGCTTCGCCAATGACTCGGCCTGTGGAGGGGGGCGAGGGAGAGCGGAGGGAGTGCCCTGGTGGGTACCCGTGTTAACTTCCGGGTGCTGGTGGGGCAGTGGAGGCTCAGGCGGTTCCTCCGGTTACTCCCAAGGCCCTCCTGCTAAAGCACCCAGAGGTGGTTGCTTTCCAGAAGTACTGACGCAGGCAGGGTGGACGCCGGCGCGCGGGTCTCCGCTTGGCTCGTAGGGACGCCCTTTTCCCGGCGTCCCCGAGAGAAGCCTCCAGATTTGAAAATCAATTCAGCTTCGGGAGTAATTTCGCCCTTCCCACAGTCACACTCCAATCCGGAATCGAACCTGGTCTTTGGGCCTGGTGGGGACGCTTGCGTAGGCCCCCAGTTTGAGACGTACACCCGGCCGCCACATGCCGCGGCTTTCTTTCATTTACAAAAGAAAGAAAAAAAAATCCGCAACAAAAGGCAGAGCCGTGTCCGCTTAGGTGCTTTCATCCCTCGGAGAAAGGACAGATGTGCCCATTGTCCAGCCCGTGGCAGTTATGGCCGGGTCAGCGCCGAGCCTCAGCCCCAGGCAAGCGGTGGTTACAATGAGAATAGCCTCTCAGAGCCGGGGTATCTGGACTCAGATATGGAATAAAGTGTGTGTAGCCTGTGCTGGGCCAGACTCAGACTGTAGGTTTGCTTGCTGGGGCTCCAAATTGCAGCCCACCCGTGGTGTTTCCACTGCAAATGCTCCTAAGCCCTCAGAGAGGCCAAGGCTGTGGCAGTGGTGGTAGTTGGGTTCCCAAGGCAAAAGTTTGGACTGGCCAACCCTTTGGGAAAAGTCCCCACCGGCTCAGGAATGAGTAGGCCTATCTCTTTGCCCAGGTCCTTGCTACCACTAGGGCAACATCCTAATCCAGGTAGGTCAAGTTCAGTGGATACAGTCAACATGATTTCCTTGAAAGCGCCATATCTTGGGACTGGTTAATCTGGCTAGTTTTATCACCAGAGACACTCCCATCCTGTCCAAACTGCATATGGAGGCCCTGCAAATAATTCAACTCAATGGATTTCATGTCTACTTGCATAAAGAACATTTTGGAATTTAGGAACTCCCACAGAAGAAAATATATTTTGGGTAAAATACACCGATGTAAAGAAACTCAGAAAACACAATTAACTCTTTAAACTTGTATCTATATCTACCTATTCATACATGCGTACACACAAGCACAAAACATGTATTTCCTGCCTAGTAGATTACATTATGTTGGTGGAAAGCTGCATCTTTGTTTTTTAATTGTTTCTGTTCTCATTTCCCACAGCATAAGAGACCAAACAATGGGTTAAAGTAGCAGGCAGTCTTTCACCTAAACAGTTGTCCCCCGCCCCCCCAATATTTTAATCCCACTGAAATGATTGATTTGCCCTTATGACAACTCTCTTCCCAAAAGGCAGTTTGTTAAAAGAAAGAAAGAAGTAAATACCACCAAGTGCACAAATCGTTCATGGTTTTCTCTTTGTGTAGCTAATTAGGAACTTGATCTTGGAAACCCTCCTTTACATGAGGCACTCAGCTGAGCCTCTGGAGTCCACCTGAAGAAGGCTGGCATCAGGTGAGCTCAACTTTCCCCCTCCCCCAAGGGCATTTATGAAAGGGGGGCTGGCTCTGTGTTGGTCCCTAAAGAAGGAGCCAAGGAAAAGACCTGAAGAAGCACCATATGTGTTGGGCTTGCTCAGTAATTTTTGATTTTTTTCTAAAACATTAAAAAAATTGTATGTGCAGGATTTGCTTTGGTTTGCAAATCTCCCTAATCTTTCTTGGCTATTCACACCGTTTATCTAACCATTGTTCTTCCCTAATTGACTGAGTTACAGTGGTTTCTCAGTCAGAAACAACACATTACTGTATTCTTATTTGACCTCTCAAAAGTTTTCTTCTTACCAAGAATGTGATGGGTAGGAAGAATGCTCTTCTTAGGCCTAGTTAAGGTGAGTTTGTATGTATGGAGGGAGGAGGGGCACCAGAGAGATTGTTAACTGCTGGAAGGCTGGGACTTCTTTTTGTCATTTTGTCCCTTTCCTTCTTTCCCCCTTCCAGTGACCAGAACAAAGCCTGGCACCCATTAGGTACACCACGGGGATTGAAGGAATTAGAGCCCACAGAGGAGTCCCTGGAAACTTGGTAGGTGTAGGTCAATGTGTGTGATTGAGGGGGAGAACTGGTTTTTAGCTGCTTAGATTTTGAGTAGCTGCAGGAAATTTAAAGAAAAAATAGTGTCAACCACTAGCAGAAAATTACATACATGTATATATGTAAGAAAAAAGGAAATAAGACTATGACTGGATGCTTGTTGCTGACAATATTTTCAGCGTGAAAACAAGGAATTGAGGATGTTTATTTTGTAAACGTCAGGAGGAGAACCTGGGATATGGGATGGACAGGGGCAATCCTTCTTATGCTGGGTAGGCTACAGCTTACCAGGCAGCCCTATCAGGTTCAGCAAAGAAAAAGTGCAAAGAGAATAAAACCATTCCTCCAAATGCTGGCCACATGAGATTCTCTGAAAACCTTCCATCGGTTTCAGAATTAATGCTTTAATTATTTTTGTGAGTAGTAGAGATGTAACATATGGCCCAGTCCCAGTTCTCAGGACCATTCCAAAGAAATGTTTCTAGCTCCTCCGAACCATGAAATGTCTACTTCCCATTTTTCAGACCCACAAAGAGCGAGATCCTGGGTGTCAGGGCAAATTCTTCTACCCAGGGATCCAGGGGGAGGCTGACTCCTTGGCTAGAACCCCAGGACATGCTCACTAGCATTTCTGATGCCTGTAGCTAGTCTAACTTTAAACTCTTGGGAAGGAACCATTTCTTTGGTGTCTGGCTACAGTAGAGCACTAGATAACTGGAAAGTGAAGGATTTGGTCCTGGGTGCTTCCTGGCAAGCTCTCCGGTTCCACTTCTACAGAAATTTTATTCAGAAAATTGCTGTAGGCTTAGAGTAGAACACCAAGAAATTCAGAATGGGGTGGCCTGGTGATTCACTATTGAAAACCATTTTTAAAAATCACTCAATGTCTTCTCTCCACTCTCTGGGGACCACGGAAGTGGTAACTAATTATGCTGGCCCCTTGCTTCAATGTTTGATACTCTGTTTAGCTTATTTTATTCATACGTTCGGTACCATTTTTCTTTCTCAAGTTATAGTTTTTGTCCAAGAAAATATTTTAAATTGGGTGTTTTTTTTGTTTTTGTTTTTGTTTTTTTTTGCACTTTACTCTGTTTTATCTACTTCTTGCCCTTCCATATCCCAAAGAGAAGATGCTCTGGCAAAGGGCTGTCAGCTCATGCCATCCGCAACCGACTCCAGGTTCTGGAAGTTGCCGAGGGCTACCTGGGCGGCCGTCCAAGGACACCAGACCACTCCGCTCGTATCTCTGCTTACTTCCTGCGCTGAGGGGAAAAAAACGCTTGCTCTCCTGGGTCCTCCGGTAAACTAGAGGCGGCTTCTTCTGGGTTGGAATCCGTTTTGGCGGTCGCCTACTTCCGCGAGGGCTTTTTCACGGCTTCAAGCCAAGAGCGCTGAAGGGAGAAAGGATATACTGTCGCCGTAGGGCTGAGGGAGGGGATCCAGGCTCCTGGGGTGTTCTCCCGCAGCAGGACCCCGCGCTGGCCGCGGCCAGCCCAGTTCCGGAGGAGCTGGCCTCGTCCAGCCAACAGTTCAGTAGGTTTTCTTTCTTGGTCATAACTTCATATAATTGAAATAGTCTACCAAGGACACCAGCTCAGGCCACGAGGGCGTTGAATTGTCCGGATTTGGGGTGGCGGTTAATGCTCCTCTTCTGGTGCCTTCCCCGCTGGGGCTCTGAGTTCCATTAGCCACGCGCTAGGGTAGAGAGTGCCAAGTTTAGGGGCTGGAGAGGACAAGGGGAAGGACGAGAGAACTCTTGCACTGACTGATGTCGTTCCAAGCGACCCGAAAACGGGGGGACGGAGGGCAAAGTCGGCCCAGGACGATCTTCAGGCGCAGCATTCTCTAGTCCTGGAGCTGGCTCCAGGGAAGGGCGGAAGCCGAGGGTCGCTGGCCATCCGGGAGCCTCAGATCCACGGGACTTGGATCAGCCACCCCACCCTACGGCGACTGAGGACTGGGCGGCCGAACTTGCCGCCCACTTAGCTAAT